AAAACTTTTAGTGTTTCATTTATCTCCGTCTATAATATACCTTTAAACCTCACCTGCCAGGGTTAAAAAATTAACCGTTAACATGATTGGATTACAAACTATTAAACATCAAGTCATTTCTTATTTGTTTGGACAATTTTCTTAATCGAGATGTCATCTTTAGTTTGTTTTTGATCTATTCGACTAGAACATGGGTACATTCAAAACTGATGATCCTGGCAAAAGAATTTAAACACCTTTCGAAAAAAGTCATTTAGACCTCAATTGATGCACGCACATCACTTAAAACACAAACCGTTCAAATTTCATCAACTAATGTTTTTACCTACTAGATATATACCACAAACAATGGTACTACTTATTTACCAGATATGGACCGAGTGATTTAAAAAGAAATGTGAGATTTGCTATCACAGGATCCACAGAACATGGCCACCCTTAGTGCTGATACACATGACAAATTCATCTAATTAATACTTATCACTAATCTTTCACTTCTTTGTCAGAAATTTTTGGAGGTAATATTTCACATATTATTTCAGCTCAAACAAAAGTTTCAATTTCAAATGTTAATGAACATAACAATACAATTTATTGTGAAAAAAAATCTGAATCATGAAATAATTTGAATCATTTGTACTTTATTCTTTTTGTTGATTCCGTTGTTTACCTGTCATACAGAGTGCCATTTCCTTGGAAAATTTCTTTTCTGAATCCTTCTTGTTTGTAATTGCTTCAGAAGGTAAATACATAAAAACCATCATGTGATTATTAAAATCAAAGTCTGTTAATGTTTTAATCATGAAGTCAATACCATTGGTGGTGGACAATTAGTCCCCCTGATAGCATCTTTCACTAAATAGTTAGATCATGCTTCAAGTCTGATGTAGTGGACTGTTTGCAGTATACAAATTTTGTTAATATCTGTTATTCAAAAGTACAGTTGAAAGATCGATGACCATAACTGGATATTTGGATGTTCAGTTTTGGTCTGTTTTTGGTCTTCAATTGAACCTTAATAAGCTGAATTTTCTGTCCTTCTATGATAAGCCATTTGAGGTTTTTGACTTTACTCTCAAAAAGAGTCTATTTTGCTTTATGAACCTCTGTTATTGAGGTCAAGATGAAGCAAGAAATTGCAGCATATTTAAAATATTAAGAATCTGAGATGTTTAAATATTACCTATTGTCCCTTTTTTATGAAGAATGTATGGTTGATTGTTTAAAGTCTTGTGGCAACTATTTCATTCATATTCAAGGAGAGAAAAAATTAAACTTTAAATCAATAGGGTACCATAGATCTATAAAGTTGCTTGACCAAAATGAAGCAGGGAAGATTTAGGCTGCCACTGGAAAAGAGAGGAAATAGGGTAATAACAGAAGTCAACTTATAACTTCTAAGGGATGCTGCAAGGGTTCTTTTAAGTACCAGTGTTAATACACTCTTCCAACACAGAACATTTGATTGAATATCCATAGATTGTTATATGAACATAAGGACATGTGGGACATAAGGTAAAAAGACAGCAACCCAATAAAACAACAAAAAGACATCTTAGTGTGTAAAGAAACTTAGTCTTTCGCAATGTATGTCTACATGTAAACTTTCTTTTCTTTTTATTTTTTGAAACAAAATGATAATACTCCATTAATGCACAAGAAAACTTTTTTTAAAAAAGTAATAAAGAATTATGATCATGCCCAACCAGAATTTCATTACGAAGAAGCAAAGACTTAAGTGGTGGCTTATTTTCAGTAATACTATTCATGTGATACCATCATTTTAATTCAATATAAAATGTCCATTTGCTATCCCAACCCCTTCATTTGATAATGTTACAAGGTATATATTATCTGTATAATAAGTACATCACTGATCGCAGTTTCCATTTAAAATTCACTCAGTTTATAACAAGGTCCAATTAATGTTTTCCTTACACATTCATTGAATAAGCAAATTTCATTCATTCATAATTATACGGTATACCTTAATGTTCTCTCGTTTACAAACTTTAAATTCTCTCCCTTTCATAACAAATAATATAATGGTCACCACAGCGAGCGTAAATGACAGTCACTTTACCTACATGAAAGAAGCGTAATTTAACTCGTAACCCTTCCCACTTTGCTCTCGATACGATAAATGTCAAGCGTACAAAAGCTGATGGCCTCGACTATCTTTAGGGCAATGACCAAATTCTAAACCAGAGCAAACAATACATGTACTCTATCCACAACTATAAAAATATCATTTCACAAATACAAGACAGTCACCGCTTTGTATTTGTTTAAACAAATTCAATGATTTTTACTGGTCATTTACACCTTTCGTTAAAAAAGATTTTTTTTGTTCCGTGCCATTAAATACCGGTCAATTGTATGAATATATATGAATTGTATTTGTATAGCTGAGATGAAAATGTACCAAAGAATGGACAGGGAAGCAATAAATCAATTTAATCTAAACATATTTTTTTTATAAAGCCTTAATTTCATTATAATACATAAAAATTAAATGCATGTATTAAAGAAATAGATGCCTAAAATATGTCTAAGTCAGCAAAAATATAAAATGGAATAAAAGAGATTTACTAGCATTTTGCAGCTTCCATTTAATTGGTTTTTTTTTATAAAAATTAGAAAATTATGGGGCGTTGTGAAAGATAAAATATAGAGGTTAATTATCTTTATTTTGTAAATCAAACTGTTCTGTCTTCCATATCTCTAAATATCGATTTTTTTACACAATCTTTCCTCTCTCATTCTCTATTTACAGAAAGTCCCTGGAGAATTTTTTAATTATGAAAATCCGACTTGCACTACTATCTAACTACCTAACATGCCAGCGAAACAACATCAGCAACGAAAAAATTCTATTCAATTTGGAACTAAATCATTGCTTCTCTCCACAAGAGGAGAAGATCTATTGGGAAAATTTTCTTTGCAAAATTTCATTAAAATATGTTTGAGAATAATTTACAAGACATGTAATGGATCTGACTTGACAATCTATTGCATAAATCAAAACAGTCTTACAATTTACAAAAGTTTGTAATACAAAAATCATAAAGTTTGAAATAGATATTGTACAGTCTTCCTTGCAGAGCCTATAGGTTAACCATCATTCACAGATGTTTCTTCAAATTAAAATATTATACAAGGAGGAAATCAAAGTTTACTCAAAAGTATTGAAACAATAAAAGTAATAGGTGATTGTGAAATGGTGGGTGTCTAATCTATATTTTCGTGCAACTTCTTTGATCGATTTCTAATCAAAAGGCTATTCAAAAATGATTTCTTGCTGAAACCAACATTGGTAAGGTGAAACAGCCCAATGCAGGTAAATTTACCTGAAATTTGGTTCTTACATGAGAAACAGCGATTTTTAAATAGACTTTAAACTGAACTGACAAATCGCAATAAAATATGGATTAGATTGAGGCATGTTTTCATCATTTTGTGTTAATCTGCTGCCACAAGAATACAATACTCCCCCACTTTTCGTCAGCATAAAAGGCGGATATTTATGATTCCTCATTAGGTTGCAATAAACCATTTTATAACAATTACTAGCTATTCAAAAACTAGAAATTCTGTTAGCAGTGAAGCCAAGGGTAACAGATTATCAAGTTGAATATATATAAGAAATCGATAATTTGTTTTTGAAAACTCTTGCCAAAATTATTTGGATAAATATAATGTAATATAAATAGTGGCAATTGTTTTTTTCTTTATCCAAACATAGACTTTAATGTAAGTCTATGCACTTAATTAACTTGGTAATTAGATAGAGGAGAAAAATATTTTTCAATAGCGGAACTATAACACAGTGCGACAGCTCTATATGTCTTCTTTCTGTACAAACACCCAACATTTTCCTGTGATACTAATTATTTGGTGTCTGCTTTAATGATCGAAAACTATCTTTTTTTGTCCAGTGACAATTTATTCACAAGACAAAATACACATAAGCCATCGGTTTCCCAATGGGTGGTTGCTAGTTTTGTATGGAAATAAAGCTAAAATGTGGAAACAACAGAGTATGGCCTACAGAGTCGTTTTCATGATGCCCATATAGGGTCATAAATATTTAGTAAGGTCGTAAGTGGTCAGTGTTTTTAATTACGACAACACGCTGGAGACATTTACTACATGGAACACTGACAAAACCTCAATAAATATCTTTGACGACGTGTTGAAGCAGCTTCTTTCATTATTCATAGAGTCCCTATTGGGATTTAATTAATATAATTCCCACATAATAATACTAAACATATATATTCAATGATCCAAGATCACGTTGTTCCTGCTCAGTGTATGATAGAGCAATTGTAAAATGGACAGAAAATGACTATCATAAGAACCTGCTTAGCACATGTTCTGTTTTTTAACATGACTGTTACATAAAAGTTAGAATTGCTTTGAATTGCAATGCAAATTACGACCATAAAGAATAAATGTTATATACGAGATATGGTTAACTACCTTCCTAAAATCAATAATTATCGATTCAAAAACAAGGTCTGTAGGGAGAGTTAGAAATGGTTTGATAACATAGTAGAGAATCATTCGTAATATTGAAAACATTCTCCAGTGTATGTCAATTGACTATATTAGATATATTCTGTGAATATGTGTGAAAAACTACCTACTTATTACAAGAGTTGATTCAAATGAATTCTATATTGTTCTCATTAATTATTATTTAATTGATTCAATTATAACATAATTCATAGCTCTTAAAATCTGTTTTGGTTTCCATTCATTTCTCACTGAAAACAGAGTTGTGATATTCCTGTATGTCATTTCGTCCACATGGAAGGATATCCGATGACAAAAAACCTACTAGTAACAACTGGTGATTCTGTAGTCTTCTTCAAACATATAGCTGGTAAACACTGGCCAAAATGTTTCACACCGACTGAATTTCAAGAAGGTTTCCTTTTGAAGGCAATTTACCTTCATATATACACATATAAATTATAAAAAAGAAAACTTACCTGTGTGCCACACCCCTTTCATGTAAATAATGAACTGCTGAAATCAATTGTCTCATGTATACTCTGACTTTGTCTTCTGGTAAACAGTTTTCTTTATGAGTTTTGATATAAGCCAAGAGGTCTCCTCCTGCTGCACATTCTAACACTAAACAATACAAAGAAGTAGCCTGCAAAATAACAATAAGAAAATATAACTCCAAGCTGTTGAATAACAATGTTTTTAAACTATAAAATGTTTTCTGTTAATTTTGTTAAATTAAAGAATAAGATGTGCCAATGAGACAGTGAAGGAATATTTTAACTGTTTCTAATTTGGCCATAAAAATTCTTAATCTTTGTTGCCATTTAATTTCTGGATTAGGTGAAAGTCTGAGATTAACAACAGTGTTGCATACTTCATCTAATTCTGCTACACCTTTCAATGGTATGCAGTACAGAGTCTGAGGGAAAACAGAGAGCCTCAGAACATACCTTGAGGTTATAAGAAACATATGTTTTATGCAGATTAAAAACAAATCTGCAAGGCACATCTCACATTGAAAATTCACTGTCCAATTTGTAGCAGCAACAAATACAAACGCAAAACTATGACTCTTTCACTTTTGGTAATCTATTCAATAAATGCAGCATAAAAGTTACAATGATGTCTACAGAACTAGTGGATGTTTACTTATTGACTTTTGATATTTTTCACAGATAAGAAATCGTTATATTCTCTCACCAGTGTAATTCCAATAATTGCGATTTGCATTTATATACCTTTTTTCGGACACTCAATAGTACTATAGCTATAGATTGTCTAAGATATGTAACTAGAAATGAAAACAAGACCAACACCGGGTCTGGACCTGCATGCAATTGATGAGGTAACATGTATACTGAAGCATAACTGATCCTGATTCCCTTTCATAGTTGCCAAGAAAAGTTTGACGAAAATTTTCCTTGTACAGCAATGTGTTGTAAAATTTTAAACTAAAGGCAACCAGGAAGTGGCTGCACAATTATCAGATGTAAAAATTGTTTACATCTTACAACTAATCATTATCAAGCTGCAAACCAATGATAAAATCATTTCTATTCCATAGAAGCCAAGAAAAAGATTGACAAAAATTTTCCCTGTACTGTAGTGAATGGGTGTTGTAAATTTCAAACTATAGGATAAAGGAAGTGGCAGCACAGCAGATGTAAACATTGCTTACACGCTACAACTCATTAAAATCAAGCTGCAGACCAAATATGAAATAATTCCCTTCCATAGAAGCCAAGAAAAATTTGACAAAAATCTTCCTTGTAAAAAGAGTTGTAAGATTTTAAACTATTGGCAAACAGGAAGTGGCTGCAAAGCTGAGGTAAAATTTGCTTACATGTGACAGCTCAACATTATCAAGCTCCAGACCAAATATAAAATTATTCTCTTCCATAGAAGCCAAGGTCTTTCAGGCGGACAAAACAGACAGAAGAAACAAGTGTAGGAGTTTACTAGACCTACTTTTGACATTGGCGACACAGGTAAAAATCACTTGTATAGATACAACTATTGGGTATCATAGAAGCAGTTCAATAAGTGTTCTTAGAAGTAGTTTTGGAAATTAAAATAATTCAAAATTTCTATCCTTTATTTATATTTTACAGAGAATGCAAACATAATTCAAAGTATTGAAAACAAGAAGGTGTCTGACAAATTCAAAAGTGCACACACATTACATCAACTTCAAACTGCTGACCAATTATGAAGTCATTCTATTTAATAATTTGTGTGAAAAGTGTGACAAAAATATTTGTTGGACAAACAGACAGACAGACATACAGACAAGGTGATTGCAATATAGCCCACCTAAGCCCTCACTCCTAGAGTTGGGGGTGTAATATCTTTAGCCCTGAGACTCCTAGAGTTAGGGGTGTAATATCTGTAGCCCTCACTCCTCGAGTTGGGGGTGTAATATCTTTAGCCATCCCTCCTAGAGTTGGGGGTGTAATATCTTTAGCCCTCACTACTAGAGTTGGGGGTGTAATATCTTTAGCCATCCCTCCTAGAGTTGGGGGTGTAATATCTTTAGCCCTCACTACTAGAGTTGGGGGTGTAATATCTTTAGCCCTCACTACTAGAGTTGGGGTTTAATATCTTTAGCCCTCACTCCTAGAGTTGGGGGTGTAATATCTTTAGCCTCACTCCTAGAGTTGGGGGTGTAATATCTTTAGCCCTCACTACTAGAGTTGGGGGTGTAATATCTTTAGCCCTCACTACTAGAGTTGGGGGTGTAATATCTTTAGCCCTCACTCCTAGAGTTGGGGGTGTAATATCTTTAGCCCTCACTCCTAGAGTTGGGGGTGTAATATCTTTAGCCCTCACTCCTAGAGTTGGGGGTGTAATATCTTTAGCCCTCACTCCTAGAGTTGGGGATGTAATATCTTTAGCCCTCACTCCTAGAGTTGGGGGTGTAATATCTGTAGCCCTCACTCCTCGAGTTGGGGGTGTAATATCTTTAGCCATCCCTCCTAGAGTTGGGGGTGTAATATATTTAGCCCTCTGACTCCTTGAGTTGGGGATGTAATATCTTTAGCCCTCACTCCTAGAGTTGGGGGTGTGATATCTTTAGCCCTTACTCCTAGAGTTGGGGATGTAATATCTTTAGCCCTCACTCCTAGAGTTGGGGGTGTAATATCTTTAGCCCTCACTCCTAGAGTTGGGGTGTGATATCTTTAGCCCTCACTTCTAGAGTTGGGGGTGTAATATCTTTAGCCCTCACTCCTAGAGTTGGGGGTGTAATATCTTTAGCCCTCACTCCTAGAGTTGGGGGTGTAATATCTTTAGCCCTCACTCCTAGAGTTGGGGGTGTAATATCTTTAGCCCTCACTTCTAGAGTTGGGGGTGTAATATCTTTAGCCCTCACTCCTAGAGTTGGGGGTGTAATATCTTTAGCCCTCACTTCTAGAGTTGGGGGTGTAATATCTTTAGCCCTCACTTCTAGAGTTGGGGTGTAATATCTTTAGCCCTCACTCCTAGAGTTGGGTTGTAATATCTTTAGCCCTAGCTCACTCCTAAAGTTGGGGTGTAATATCTTTAAACACATATCTAATAGATAGGTTACTCATATGAGACAATAGTTAAAATCTTGGGTGTCCAGGTGCATCTCTATGTATACATTCCAATACACAATGAACAACTATCATTTCTATGGGATATCTATTACTTCAATATCCTGTGTATTTATCATTTTATTTTCTTTGTTGTTTTAAATTTTGTCTGTAAAAGTATTCTGAAAATCTGTACAATATTAAACAATTACTTTTAGAGCCACCAATCTTACAGTTGCTGTATATCACAATTGTTTCATATAAAACAAAGTCTTTATCTAAAAATCTCACCACCACAAAATTTTACACTGGTGCCTGTAGTCTTTATAAAATACAGAAGGACTTCCTTTAAGGTCATACCAATTTTGAAATTTACACCTAATTACAATGACAAACAAACAGAATTAATTAATTACCTTTTCAAACAAGTCTTAAATACTAACATAAAATCCATGACAAAAAGAACTTGACATCAACCACTTTTAATAGGTTAGAAAAGCAATGCATTTCCTATGTACAATTAAACTTTTGCAATGATTCAATGCTGCCAATTGTTTAGAGATTACAGCTGTCATTTATGCAATGGCAAAGAAAGCATAGAGTGTTATAATTCATGACACAAAATCACTACACAAACATTGAAAGAAGTAAAGGAACTGTCACCTTTTATTGTTGCTTTAATGGTTGTTATTATCTCAAGTCACAGTTAACTTTTAACATGTAAGCATTATGATTTTTAATATAATAGTTTTTTTTACTTTAAGGGGGGGGGGGGTCTTGCAACATCCTCGAGGGTTGCATATCTCCTTTTTCTAGCAGCAGCTCAAACTTGCCTGTCCTCCCTTCCTATCAACCCATTTTATAGTACATATACTCATGTATTGGTCAATTTGTTCTTCTTATAAGTCCTGAACATGCATGAAATATTTGCCACTGGATGTTAAGCAACTAACAATCAATGAAACTAATGTGTAAGCAAGAAATATTTGCAACTTGACATTAACCAAACAATCCACAACCAGTTAGTTTTATTATTTCAATTTTCAATTTAGCCAGGTTAAAGTCAAAAACTATAAAAGAGGAAAAAAGCAGACATGATATAGACATAAATAATGAAGTCATTCATAAGTATATATTTACTATAGGTATCTTTCTACATACAAACAGAAATTGGAGATTTAAACTGACAGACTGGTAAAACTTGAAATGACAAGAGAGAAAATTGAACTCTGGATAAGATTTCAGTGCAATCTTTGATCTTGTAACAATCAGACTGACATTTACTGGGTGAAGATGACATAGTCAAGATGGTAGCTTGAACTTCTTGACAGGCTGATACATTTAAAAATCAAAAGTGTGGAAAACCATTTATCTTTTAACAACTTCATCTGTTTACAAAGTGAAATGTAGACAGCAATAAGATTGCAAATATTTGAATGAAATTTTGAACCTAACTTTTGTTCTGAAATTGATGGAGGTTGAAGGTTGCTTGTTTATAGGAACCAGTATTTTTTTGTGGAAAACTGTACTTCATAAAATATTCCAAAATGACCTGATTTTTGTGATAGAAAAATTCAAAATGACCAAAAGGAGCATTTTTTAACAACATTCACGATGTGAAAAGGTACTTATTTTGATGATGTGCTTTGTAATTTTCACAATTTATGTAGATCTAAAAAAAATTAAAAAAAACTTAAGAAATGTATATAGCAGAAATAAAAAAAACAGTAAAAAAAAAAAAAAGTTTTTCAAATATTCCAGCAAAGATGCAACTAACAAAACTGTTTTAACTTTTACATTAATAATCCAGATTTTTTCCATTATTCAACTTCAAAGTTTTTAATTTAAGTGACTCTACACCCCACTCAAATCAGGGAAATAAAATTGACAAATTCAACCTGTTATCTAGTTTATATTTCTTCTCTGTCAAACTGGGGAGGTAGACATAGATTTGACTTCATGTCCACACTATAATTGTAAGTAACAAATTCCTGTGGATCATGAGCATCTGTGAGACGAATTAAAATATTGTAGTTATTTCACTTTAGATTTAATATTTAACACGTTAGGAATTTCTTCCTATGATTTTTAT